GAATCAGATATTGCCATTCACATTAGTGACTTGCGGGAATTGTGGTAGAGAACGATACTTACGATTGGTTATTCAACCCCTTGATCATCACCACAGTCCTTAGGATTATCCTTTGTCATCACCCTTAACGGCATCACCCGTCATTGCTTCGCCCATTATCATCGCTCATTGATATCAAACGCAGCCCTCTACTGTACCATATCGCCCTACTAGATCCTTAACACATATAAAAGTTCCATTTCACTTACCCAAACTTATCTTTATCTCCCCGTACACCGTTGGAGTTAAATTGGCACTTATTCCCTAATAATTTACTAAGCTCTCCCAACAACGGTTACAATATCAATTTTAATATGACCCCTCATTAATATCATTATCAACATGACGATCCAAAGGGTTGATATAAATGAAGGATGACTGTATCTCTAATTAATAGATAAAAACGTACCGATCAAGTATAAGACTAACAGAGCTTCCAGGCAGCAATGGTAAATCTATAAAGACTTACGCGATTAATGACATTACCCCTCTTCAACTTTAATTTCTAGTTTAAAACACAAGCTACTTTGACGATCGAATTCATATTTATATATATCATCGTTTATAAGTTGAGGCGAAGCGAGGCCTTCAAATTTAGCTCCAAGCTCAAGTGGAACTAATATATCGTTATTTCTTACCGTATGTTATAAACTTACTATATATTTTAGGGTTTTTTTCTTTCGATAATGGTGCGAAATAGCGGCATCTTGAGTTTGATTAAATAAGAATGTAAAAATCTTTGTAGAATTACAATAGATCGGTGGTGATCTTTTAGACCATTCTATTCTATTCCAATTATCACTTCCGTCATCATAACTAAATTAAGAGCAATTATTTATTATTAAAGTTTTTATTAGATTTTATCTTTAAAAAAAATTTTATATCAAGTCTTAATTAAGCCAGAGTTTGATTCACCACAAGTTTTAAGCCAGAGTTTAATTTAGAGATAATAACTTCGTCCATTACCAGAGGAACAAATGTGTTCTACTTCTTGCAAACAGTTCGTAAAGTGCAAAAATTTTCAAAACCATTATATATAATCATCTTAATAAATAGGTTTGGACAAAATTAATTTTATCTGAATAACATTATTGTTTTGCTTTGTTTTAGTAACAACATAAGCCAAAATATGAATATGCAACTCGTTAGGAAGAATTTGAATCATTTTGAAAATATTGAAAAGAAAGTTTCTTCCCTGTGTTAAAATAAAAATATTTGACATATTTATCGTTATCGCGTTGTTCCAAAATGGAATACCAGGAACGAGTTTTCTGTAAGTGGAAACGAGAAGTACAGTACAAAATCTCGCATTCGGTTGGATGCCACAATTTGCTACAGGCACACCGAATAATTGATTATGGGTGCAATTATTTGACCTCATACGCAAAAGTATACCAGATACGTTCAAAAAAAAACCTTACACGTAATTTCATAAATGATTTCTCTTTTTTTATTGACCTGCACAATTTAAATTTCTTTTCAAAGACGATATTTCAAAATAGCGCTCTAAGTCTTTATTTTTAAGTTTGTACCAATGAGCACAAAAGTTTTAGATAAAGTTTCTATATATAGTATACAGTTAGGCTATACAAAGGTGATTGTTCGTTTCGCACAACTTGGCATTCGAAATTTCGATCGGGCGGTCGGATTTTTTAATTTAAATTAATAGACTGAATTTTCATATAGCCAAAGTCTTTAATGTCTAAGTTTTCTTGAAAAAACTTTTTGCTTGTTCAAATGATTTCAAGTTCTTTAATTAACTTTCGAATCAGTAAAATCATAAGCCATTATAAAACTATGTTTAGTTAATCAGGGCTAATTTTAATCGTGATCTAAATAGCAGTCAAATTTGCAGATCGTTTGGCCAAGTTCGGAGTTTTTGACCCCGAATTTGGCCAAATGATCAAAAAATTTGACCTGGTTCTGCTATTTAGATCACGATCAAAATTAGCCCTTATATTAAACTTATCGGTAACTTATCAGGTACAAAAATGACATGTAGCTGTAATAGCCATGTACAGTCGGCTCCAAAAGTTTATCACGGTTACACAAAAAATAACACAAAGTTATGATGATTATGTATATAAAAGTAACTCTCGATATAGGAAACCTTCGATAGATTCGATATAAAAAGCTCTTGGCATAATAAAGATTTTACAAGAAACTTTATAAGTCTTTGATATAAGAAAGCTTCGATATAAGAAGGATTTTGGCTGGACCCGGTGACTTTTTTATATCAAGAGTCAGTTGTATTCATTAATATTTTATAGTTGATTTGTATATTATTTTTGTGTAACCGTGATAAACTTTTGGAGCCGACTGTACTAATCCGTTATACATTTTAAAATTGGAAAATTAGCGTATTAATAATATCTTCCCGAAATAATACAAATTTCAATTAATAAAAATTGGCCAAAAATGGGAATACTAATAGAATGAT